CTGTCTGTCTGTCTGTCAGTCTGTCAGTCTGTCTGTCTGTCTCTCTACCTCTCTTTTTCTTTGTTATACGCCCCCTCTCTCATAAAGGGATAAAACAAAAACAAAGACGAAACAAAACAAAACAACAAAGACCCAACCCAATTTTGGTACAGATCCAAACCTATAGATACCAAAACTTCATGAGGTTCATATTAAAAGCCAAATACATTTGTAGGCACAAGAATGTGAAGGTTTTAAACGTTCAGCCGTTTCTCTGATTTTGATTTCCCCGTTGCCGCGCAGGTTGCAACGTGGAAAATGTGTCCTATCCTTTGTGTATCTGCGCCGAGAGGACTGCCATTGTCAAGGCCGTCTCTGAGGGTTACAGAGAGTTCAAGGCCATGGCCATTGCCACGTAAGTCACACGACATCACCTCTGGCTTGTGTTTTTGTTTTTTTTCTTTTCGTTCTTGTTGTTATATTTTTTTTTAAAAATGTGTTTTAAGAGGGCAAGGTTACTGTTGGATGTGAGGGGTAGGGGGAGGGGGAGAGGGTTGTAGGTAATAATATGGTAAACTTTTGTCGCCCATTTTTATTTTTTACACACATGACCTGTTGTATGGTAATACTGATCCTTTTCGTAGGTTCTCTCATCAGGTCCACATCTGAGACTGTGTAGCGTCAAGCACAACAGATGCTTTAACATTTTTCAGAATGGTTGGAAAGCAGGAAGAGGGGATGGCTGGGGGGTGTTGAAAAGTCTAGCCTAAAAATGGAAGAAGCGCTCCTAATGATTTTTATTTTTGCTGAGTGTTTTACGGCGCTTAGGAAACTGCATAAGATCATATGGTCGGGCGTGATACATTTTCAGACTGATAGGAATCGATTTTGAATTCTGTCCGGGTAGCGGCCGAAACCTATACTCATTGATCTTAGGACCACCAAAAGGATCTTTGCCCAGGGGGCTAATCAAATGTTTTGGCTCTTACCCAAGAAGGCTGGGTATTAGATCTTACCAACCCTAAAACCAGGATATGGCTGACAGACAGCAGAAAGAAGGCGCCATGGAGTAACAGTAGAAAGGCCACAGAAAGGGCCAGGAAAAAAGAGGCAAAAGGAGGGGGGATGAGAGAGTGGAAATGAAAGCACACGACAGAACATGACCAAAGAAAAAGAAAGGCGGCGAATCGAGAACATATTAGAGAAGAAAATCCTCCGTCGCTGTCAGATCAGGTTTCGAACCCAGAACCTATTGAATGAGAGGCAAACACCATACCTCTAGACCACGAGAACACCCCCGCCCCCCGCGCGCCTAATGATAATGCGTCATCACGCTTATAAAAGCTGTTGAAACGTTGCATTCCGGCTCGTAGTTTTAGGCCATGAGCTGACGAAAAGAAATTATTTTTACCATCAATGAAACCTAAAACAAGGTTTGAGAGATAATTTGCATTTCATAGCTTCAAAGTCACCGTGCGTTATCTTAAGAGGGATCAAATCGTTTAATTAATTAATTTAAAAGTCAACGTCAACTCACTTACATTTTTTTAGATTAAGGGAGGGGGGGGGGGGGGTCCCACCTATTTTTGGTCAATCTGAGTCAAATTGGGTATTACAATATTTTTTGCCTTTTCTCAGTCATTTCTCTGTTGATTTGATTGTCCTTTGGCATAATTGTAGCTATTTGGATGCCCAACATTTTTTCTTCTTACATTGTTATTCTATCTTCACTAATTAGAGAGGTATCTCATTTTTTGTCAAAAATATTTGATTTTTTAATTTTTGACACATTTTTCGAAACTCCTCTGAAGATTACAGGTGTATCTTGATGGCACTTGGCATGCTTGTTGCCCTTAGGGGTGGTTACATTACTTTGTCAGCGTTTAAAAAAAATCTATCTTGGTTTTCATTTTATGATTTTAAAAATTTGGAAAATTGACCATTTTCTGCATTTTTTACAAGATTTGCACGCTTCTTCCTGTTACTCCGAAACGAAATAAGATATCGAAAGATACTGACTATTTTTAACTTATATGCCTCTTGGGTACATGTGTGCTTAAGGACAATAAAATCCATAGGTAAATTTCAGAGGAGTATTGATTTGAAAACATGATGTGAAAATCCAATATGGCCGCCATTTTTATGGCGGCCATCTTGGATCCGGGAATTTTTTTTTCATCGTAATACCTGTATCATGACGAAGTTGTATGCCAAATTTAAGGTTTCTAGGTCCAGAAATAAAGGAGTTAGCTCGCTTGTGGGACCCCCCCTCCCCCTTAAAGAGATATAAATTTAGATTCCCCCTCCCCGGAGGACAATGTACTTGTGTTTCTAGAACAACAAGGGCCTATATTCTTTAATTGGTTTAAACGCTGTATAAACATGATATTTAAAATCATTATCATCTAAATTGTATCGTTAGCGGTGTAAAACATTTACAATTAAAAAGTACATAACTTGTTTCCACGCTCCGTTCTCAGAGAACTTCCTGACACATTTGCCTCTCCATGTGGAGCTTGCAGACAGGTTTTGTTGGAGGTGAGTTAGACAAAGACACTTCAGACGAATCATCAATAATTCCTTAGTATATTATAAAAATGTACAAGTTACACCAACTTTCGCTTTGATACATTTGACTAAATGACACTGGTGTCTGTGGTGAAGCCATTGGCTGATTTACCCCTGTACACAGAATGCCTGAGTTCGATTTCAATGTGGGGAGAATTTTTATCGAGTATCCCCGTCTTTCTGTAGAATCGTTATATCATCCGTCTCTGCCCTGGTTGGCCCTGACAGGCAAGGTAGAGGCAGCTCACCTCTTAAACAATCTAACTGTTTCGATGGAGGTTAAACATCCACAAAAATATCTACATATTATGTGTCATGACGCAGTGGAATCAGGTGTCATCAAATTTTGACCATGTGGAGATACTACCAGCACCTTAAAGCTTATCCATTTGCCTTGCCTGTGAGGAAAAAGCACCCGTTTATCTTGAATAGGAGTTGAGATATTTGCTTTAATGGATTTGGGGTCGCCTGATTTCAGAGATAAAACTAGTGAGAAAATGACAATCGAAGTTTGGTGACTTCCACAGTTTGAGAGTCCTTGGAAACTGAAATTTTACATTTTTGTATCTTTAATCAATATTTTTCAGTAAAGTCCACGTAGAAATGAGTTTTTACATTAACCATGATGCTTCACATAATATTACACTATTTTTACCCCCCTCCCCTTTCCTAGTTTGGATCAAACTATGATATTTTCCTGACAAAACCGGATATGACGTACGTGAAGATGACTCCAGCAGAGTTGCTCCCGCTTGGATTCACCCCCAACCTTCTCCTGGAACCACCAAACCAAGACAGTTCTTAGTGTCAGAATGGAGCCCATTCCGAGAGTGGAATTGGTATATCTAGTTGTAAGATAGTTGCTTTCCCAAATTCCATTTCTTCCCAGTATTATTGTAGCCGAGATCGGGATTAGAATGTTTAGCGCTGGTAATGTATATCTTCCTAAAATCCCAGCGTTCATTCCCTTAAAGTTGTGAAGGAAAAAAAGGAATGTTTTTCTTCATTTTTTTAAAAGCACAGTCTTATGGCCAGCCTGTTTGTCTACAGTTTCAGAGCTTTTTGCCTCCTTTAAGAGGTTTACATTTTCGTACTGTCCGCCTACATAATATATTTCCAAGAGGAGTATTAAATAACATTATCACAACCCGTGTGATCTTGCACTGTATATCATAATGGGCAAATCGCTCACTGGTTGGCGACACTGCCGAGATTGGCAGGCACTAGACGAGAGGGTTATAAAGTAGCTTAACCTGAAAATTAGTAAAATTAGACATATAGTCAATATCCCATAATTTGTTGACGTTGACAGAACCATGTTTTGAAAAAATGATGAAATTTCTTGAATTGTGTAACTTATTTTGTCACATTGAGCCCCCCCCCCCTAAAAAACCCCCAAAAAACCCCCAACTCTATCGTAAATGAAAGTTTCTTAAATAACGAAATTAGCAGTTGAAACCGTTATGATTGCACGCAATGAACAGAGTGATGAACTTGGCGGCTTGCTGGTTTATCCAGTCACTGTGTTGTAACCACTTAAGTCTATAGTAACGTAACAGCCAGTCAAATGTCTTTAGGGCTCAGCAAAGGTTGAGCCTGTTTCAATGGCCCTTCCTTAATGAAACTATTCTTTTAGAAAGGTAGACGATTTGAAAAAACAACAACACTGTACAAAGGGTTTACGCGCTCCTAGCACTGACAATGTGGTTTACGACACACTTTATCCCACTGACACCGTTACCTACGGGCTTATTGGACCTTAGTTAAGTGCTGTCTACTTTCTTCGACAACACTGCAGCTAATAGACGGAATATATTTTGAAGTGCCGTGTGTGTGTTTGTATTTTGTGCCGCTGAGATTTAACAGTTATAAATCACATCGAACCACTTTTAAGAAAACGTTTTTATCAGACGAAAATTAATTTGAAGGTGATATGGCTTCGCCCCCCCCCCCCACCCCCCAATTCAGAAAAAATACTTAGAACAAAGAGATGAAAGACAAAGGTGACTCTTCTCGTTTAAATGATTCTCAAAATGCCATGGCTCGCTGGAGAGTAGAAAAACCATCATTGTTTAATTCTTTTTTAAATTTCTATTTGGTGGTAAAAAAGTAGAAGCAACCTAAGCCCCACCCACATTTTGGTCCACCCACCGCCACAAATAATATGTTGCAAAAAATACTTAAAGCTTTGCACAAGCGTTCAGCTGTTAAACAAATCATTATATAGTTTCTACCTTTTGTTATAAAAGTCTGAACAATAATAGTTCACCATATAATTATTTGCCTCTGTGTTAAGCACTGCATGTTCTATTCGGTCGTCCAAAGTTAGCTATGGTCGCTCACTGAGGAAACGAGATGTAAAGATCCTCGAATGACATTATTATGATAACGATGGGTTGGTGAGAGAATCTTTATTTCATTGGGCCTAGAATTTGGAACTTATTGCCATAGAATCTCAGAGACACAACAATCTAAACTTGCTTTTGTGATTACCTGGACTCACTTCTTACTTTAAGTCTTAAGTTAGGTGTTTTTACTTGTCATGTTGATGTGTCTTTCTTTTAACTGATGCCCTTATGTGTATGTAATTAATGTGTGGCTGAAAAAGTTCTTCCTCATGTGTTTGAGCTTGCTTTCTTGTGGGTGCGCAATGATTTTTCATGTGTGTGTGTGTGTGTGTGAGGGATTTATTCTCAGTAAACATATCATTGACGCAAAGTGCTCAAAGCCTATACTTGTATTATTATTATTATTATTATTAATTATCATTATTATTATTATCAATTATTATTATTATTATTATTATTATCATTATTATTATTACTATTATTATTATTATTATTATTATTATTATTATTATTATTATTATTATTATTATTATTATTATCATTATTATTATTATTTTATTATTATTATTATCATGATTCATTAGTTAATTAATTAATTTCAGAAATATTTAAGTCTTGCAGAGGGCTCAGGTGCACGAAACCTAACTTGACGGTTCAGAAATTTTTACGAGGTCCAATGAGCGAACATGCTACCTTTGCCTAAAGTCTACTTGATTTGTCCACGCATGATACTCGTTACTTGAAACATTTCATTTCGTACAATCGTGCTTGTTAACAACCCAGCCAATGGGCCTTGTAAGAGCTAATATAGATGTAGACTCAGAACTTAAAAGATGGCTGGCTTCAGATCGTACCTTGTCTGACCAACAATGACGACTGACATTGTGGAAGACAGTGTCGCATTTTCCATCATGCCGGCCAAACTTGGCTCAGATGCAGCAATTAATACTTTTGCTGACTATATCGTGAGAAATTATATTCAAGCAATCAGCGCTTTCCCACTTTACATTGAACATGTAAGTCTTTGGTACAACAGCGCAGGGTTTGGAGGGATTTCATATAAATCTTTCCCAGACAATGCGAATCCTCATCTCATCATGTGGGTTGTTTATTGAAAGTCTTCAACATTACAGTTAAAGACTGAGTTGAAGAAGAAGAAATAGAAGGATATACAGCACCCCTGAGAAAGGGAAGGGAATGGAAACAAAACAGATTTGCAGACTAAGTGAAGAACTGAATGCATAACCAGAACAAAAAAGAAATCACCGAACTTGAATTTCTGAGAGTACTGTCCAGCTGAGACCGCTGCCCGCCCCCCCCCTCCCGACTTGTAAATATGACCACTGTAAATAAAAGTCCACAATAATTTTGTCACGAAATTGTGAGGAGAACTATGATAACAAAGTATTTATTGAAAGTTGTCGAAGCTGTTATGAATGAAGTTAAGTCTGTTATTACACCACAGCGCCCTGGGCGTACTCTTTCAGGTGTTAAGCAATGGGAGCTCCGAGTTCATGACCTGCTTCAGAGTATATATTATTATTATCATTATTATTATTATTATTATTATTATCATCATCAACATCATCATTACTATTACTATTACACTATTATTATTATCACCATCATTATTATTTCTATTATTACTATTATTGTTACTTTTGTTATTATTATTATTTGTTGTTGTAGTTGTTGTTGTTGTTGATGATGTTGTTGTTGTTGATGTTGTTGTTGGATAGTTTTTTGTCTTGGAGTTTGATTCCAACGGCTGTGGAGTGGGTGGTTGGTTTACCCTCTGGTGTAATTTGCTCCTTCTTTCCTATTAGTATCAAGTCTTGCTAGTTTTGTTCATTTGATTCAGTCAAGACTAAAGTCAGATTTCTGTTCCTTCACGGAGTTGCAAAAACTACCATTCTGACACAATACGACTGAATTCAATTAAGTTCAACTGGGATCTTCAAAATCAGACATAGTTTTCTTTTTTAAAGTGGCGAGTCGAATCGATCGTGTTGTGCCAAAATGGTAGCTTTTGCCCCACGACGAAGAACAATATTAATGGCTCATGGCCCCGATCAGCGGCCATGACAGTGCCCGGTCTAAGACTCACCTTCACCTATCCTATAGACTGGATCTCCGTCGGGGCGCTTTTGAAGGTTTGGCCACATGCTTCCTCCACTCCTTCATGTCTTCAGTTTTTCTGAGCTTGTCTTTGAGTTCCAGGCCTGTCCATGCCTTGATGTTGTCCTCCCAACTCTTCTTCGGTCTGCCTCTGCTCCTTTTCCCATGGACGCTGCCTTGCAGGATTATCTAGGCAAGGTCGGAGGAACGGGTGATGTGTCAATACCATTGCAGTTTGCATTTCCTGGCCAGAGTGAGAAGGTCAGCATATGGTCCAATTTCATTTTTGATCCGTTATTTGACTTTATCATTTGTGATGTTATCTTTGTATGTGATACCAAGGATTTTTCGGAAGCATCTCATCTCCACAGCCAGGATATAAATTATAACATTATCATTCAAATGGGGGGGGTGGTGCGGATTAGCGCAGCGAACTGTTTATGAAGAGCAAAGAGCGGCGGCCATGACAACGCGCGGTCTAGGATGTTATAATCCAAGTCTATTGGTGTACACTCAGGAAGCAAGCCTACAATGTGTCAAGACACAGCCTTAAATGAACCCACCCCAACCCCCTCCCACGGGGGAAGAGACAGACAGGAAGGCCGAAATCCAGTGGGAGGGAGTTTGAGAGGAAGATCTCGGGCATATGGGACTCAGCTGGCTGGAGGTGGAGAAGATAGCCGCGAACAGAGACAGGCGAAGAGCCGTTCTCTGCGGCTTATACCCAATACCAGGGTGAAAGAGGCGAATGATAATGAATGATGATGGACACAAAGAGACAGCTTATCACTTCAATATTCCAACATTATGCTACTAGTGCTAGACCTGGACATAAGTAAAACACAAGAAAGCCAAATCACTGCATGCGAAATGAAATGTCTCCGCAAAACCCTTAACATCTCAAGACGAGACAGGCAGAGAAATGAAGAAGTAAGAACAGCTATTGGCGCTGAGTCCTGCCTACATTTCATTGGAAGACAGAGAATCAAATGGTTTAGTCACCTGTTACGTATGTCACTTAGCCAGCCAGCCCGCCTCGAGAGCCTATAACACCAGGCACTCAGGCTATAAAGGAAGAGGAAGGTCACGCAAAGGTGGATTGAGGATGTCAAGGAAACCCTGAGAAATAGTAATATCCCAACTGAAAGAGCTGCAGAGTTGGGATATCATAGAAAACTGCATCTCCTCTCTACGCTTAACGACAATCATCATCATCCAGTGCCAGATCTGCGACAGACATCGGCAATCATGGTTTTCCATTCATTCCTTTGCTCGGATGCTCTCAAAAAAGCTACATTTCCCTGATCTTTCCCTGATCTTTCCCTGTTACCCATTTGTTTAG